CTGATCCAGATTGCTGACCATATGTTCGAGGCGTGCAAGTTTGACGCCGAATTCCTCTCGCAGTAAGTTCGTATTACTCTCAAGCACCTAACGATACTCAGATGATTGTCATCCGGTTCGCGAATCCCATGTGGACCTCAATGAAATGAGCCGACAAAGTTGAGCTAGGGCCAACCCGAGGGGACTGATAAGAGCTCCCATTGATAGCCATGCTCTGATGTGAGATACTACTGCTGGCCCGTGACTGAAGTGCTGGTGGAGAAGTCATCAGCTTGAACAACTACAGTGTCTACCAGTGGTAGACTACCACGTATTGTATCAAACGTTGAAAGATCGAGACTTCGAATTAGCGGCGACGAGTCATCCGAGATGCCACTAACGAGTATCATGCGTACCAGTTCATGCTAGTCGCGTGTGAAGGAGATCAATCGCTGGACATTCTCTCTACTTTCATTCTCATGGAACTGAGAAAACCTTTCGACCACTGGGGTGCTCTCATGAGCTAGCAATGCCGAATAGCCTACTGCTACCTCAGCTCTCGAACATCCCATCAGGACTTGAGTTTCGTTTCTTAAAGGATGTCCTCACTGAGCAGTTGTTCAATGTCAACAGCAAACGAGCTATGTTAAGTGGGCCGTGCCCACCATAACGTTCAGTCCATGATCAGGAACGAGACACAAGCATGCACTGTTCAAGATGCGACAAGATTGGCCGCTTACTGTACACCGATTACCTCGTGCTGTTACTGATAAGACCCGACAGGATCCTTCCAACCGTCGCGTTTGCATAATTGACAACTCGAACGGAATCAGCCATATCATGTGAATGATTAATAAAACTCGCTTTTGACATCGACACCAACCGCCTCATGAACGTTGCTGTAGCCATCTTTCCGAAGCAACTCAGCCAAACCACAGTTGATATCTCGGAACACCCATGGGCCCTCGTAAATCATACCAGTATATACCTACAATGCTAGCATGCAGTCGATCTCCTTGTAACAAGAGGAGCACTTCGTTGAATTCATAGTTGGCAGTTTTCACGGAATGTCCCGACTTGTTGGTCAATGACCCCCCACAATGTTGAATCGTAAGACCATCTCACGAGTAGAATCACAAGTATGTCATTATAAAAATGTCACGGGTCTCAAAAAGATAAAAAAAGGTTCCTTGCCTGTATCAGCGACGCCCCATTCCGTATCAGACGGTAAGCATCCTGGGCTGTGAAGACTCCTCCACAACCAATGATAGGGACCTACACTCAACACGGTCAAAGAATGATCATTAGGCTACTCTAAACCTACCTTTCCTGCTGTCACTTTATAGACGTGTCGTACGAGATTGATCGCTCGTTGTCGTACGGGCTTGCCACTGATGCCACCCTTCTCTCCGTGGTTGCTGTCTCCGACCGACCTGATCAGCTCCATACGACACAAGAGTCTCGAAATAAGACCCGCTACCTACCTGTCCAGATTGAGGTCGTCTCCTCTATCTGCGATAGTATTGATCATAACAAAGCCATCAACACCAAGTTCCACCGCCTTCCGCACCATCCTCGACACACCTTCATAGTATCTACCATTTCCACCTAGTGAGGACTTCAAGCACAACTCCCGTCACGTGTCATCAGCCTCAGCTGGGGGTGGACTCAACTTCACTAAGACCGGCTTGTCAGGGTAGTTATCACGTCTCCAAGTTAGAAGTGCCCCAAGGAGCTTTTCCAGAGCCTAGTACATGGCATAAAACTATGGTCATTCGGGCCACACTGCCCACCTCGAGATCCTCGAAGGTCTTCCCCTCTGCTGTGTTCGGACAGCTGATATTAACGTCGATGTAAGCTGCGTAAGGGGCCACCTCATCGAAGCTCGCCACAATATCCGCTATAGCGGCATCGTTCTCAATGGTCGGAGCTGAAAGCACATGTCCATACGGAGTACACCATTGTCAACCCACATGGTGTCTTGGTGATGCTCACACCAATGGGCGGTGTATGCCTCGTGCCGTTAAGCAAAGTTGACATAGACCGCAGCTTCTCACGCAGTGCTGCAGCGCCTCTGACAAGGGTGACACACTGAGGGCGATTGATACAGTCACCGATAGTGCATATTCAGTGTCGGTCAAACTGATAGCCGACAATAAGCAGAGGCTATTGCCATCAAAGTCGACAAATAAACACTCACGACAAAGGGGAAGGAGCATTCTGAAAATTAACCCAGAAACATTTTGAGTCGTAACCTCACCTATTGTTGAGGCCCATACGATTGATTACGGCACCATCTCTAGCTAGTCGGAACATACGAGGACGTGGATTGCCAGGCCAGGGCTCCTTCGATACAGATCCTATCTACACCCCGACACTATCAGAATGTGATGCGCCAGAATGATCACCTCAGCAAAGCCATTGCCAAGCGTTGAAGAGGTCAACAAATGCAACAGCTCGCCGTTCTTGTCAAAGCCAGCAGCCAGGCCCTGACCATAGGCATACATCGCCACAACGTCACACAGCTCCGCATTACCACTGGTCGGGGGAACTCGACACCAAATAGGACCTGCTTTAGAGGGTCTACATCGTCTGATACTACAGCGCAGGCTGGCCTTCGTGAATCACCATCGAGTAGGATAGTAGCGATTCTGTCCATCACTCTTTCGTTATACACCTAACACTTCCCTTTGCCACATAGGACGAGATGAAACCACACTACATTCAAGCAATTCCAAAAGCGGTGGAAAAAGAAGACAATTCTGCCATAAACAGCGCCGCCCATAATCGCCATACGATGAGCCACTTCGGGGTCGCTGGCTGTCAATGGAAACAGGATGGGCCTAAGGACTCGGAATTGGACCGAGAACAGATATCAAGATGATGTCCTACACCACTAGCCCCCTATAGAGTCGTGTCCCCCAGCAGACCGCCGCTGCTGGGGTCGTATCAACACCACCATGCAGCCCGAGCAACACTCTAGCCTCTCTAGTTGCTAGGACGTAGTATGCTGCAGCTCCCGACAATGCCGCAATCCCCACCGTATTACGTAGTCTACGGACGGCAGTGAACGGCATGAATATACCACTGTAACGGTGATGCAACACGATATTGCCACAGTAGTAGGGTTCTCTCAGCAGACGGTGAAGTGTGATCTAAGACCTCTAGTATAGTCTATACATCACCAACGTCTACCCCGACTATTTACTCCAACCCAATACGCTCGAGTGATATAATAACTACAATTATACTGTGAGCACCGTCAGCTTCACAAAGCCGAGATCAACGAAGGATGCAGACAAGACAACATCCGGCAGCCTTTACACGACGGACCAGACCATAACGAGCAGTGGTGGCGTTACAGTATACTTGGTTACCGTGATAATGATACATTAGCAGAGAATAAAAACCTCAGCAGAACCAAGCTATGGACAAATAGTCGACTGACAGCTTGTGACGGATAGACAGCGGCGACTCTAGAGTGGGCCATGTAAGAATAAGACCAGGCAGAATAGGGAATTCGCAAGTCCCCATTAGAGACAGCTATAGCTTGTGAGCAACATCCCAACATGAATGGCTTAAAGGCTCTGTCGAGCAGCATTGCCATCACTATCTTCCACTAGGGCTTCATCTAAGGTAACCTCCTTTGAAGGCCGTAACTTCGCTTCGCCTTTCCCCGCACCCGAATTGGCCGACGTTGACGTGTTGCACTCGTCCACTATCTCTCCTTCACCATCAGCCGAATACGCCCTCCAATCTGCCCTAGCCCCATCTACAAAATCATGACTTAGTTCAATAATAGACCTTCGCTCCGCCGCAGTGAGCCCACCCCGAGACGGGTCGATCTCGGCCGGTGGAGGCGATATCAGCTCCTCGCAACCCACCTGGCCATAGATGTCCAACGACGCTCGGCAAATCGTCGGTCCCTCAGAGCCGTGGAAGAAGACGAATAGCTGCCATACTTTACCATTCACAGCAACGAAATGATGCCGAACCTTGCACGCCTTCCGACTCTTCAACATCTCCACCAAACGTGAATTATCAATAGGCCCCGGATCGTCTGATGTGTCCGCCAAACTAGGTCCATCGAGATGAGCCTTTTTAATATAACTCTTCCACTTATTAACCCATACAGCATCCACCATATACCAATACTCTCCATCCTTGATATCCTTCGTATCATACTTACCCACCAAGGCTTGCTCTGTGGCACGTCTCCTCAAATATGCCTTTACATAGTAACTACACTTTTCACAAGGATCCAAGCTGCTCAACAGCGGTCCTCCACCATACAAGGTCTTCAACTTCCTCCCGAACTCCAAGGGGACCGGGACATACCTCTGCTCAGCATCCTCCTTCTCCACGTCAGACACACACTTATCCGGACATATCATAGTAAACGTATTAATAGGCCCAGGATGGCTCATATACTGCAGCCGTATCGTCCATTGCCTCGGCACATACACCCTTGGAAAATCGCCAGGCAGTTGACCCTCTTGCACCGCCTTACGTAGCTCAGCAACCACATTGGCCCTCGCTGGACTCGCTACCTTCTGGTAGAAGAGAACATATGCTTCAAAACCCGCAACTTGCGCAGAGTCCACCTTAGTTACTCTAGCATCATCATACTCCAACCACTCGTCCGTCTCTTCATGACGACAATAAGCAACGTAATGGCCAGACCCCACAGAACCAATATGACGTATTAGTCCCGTCAAACGATATGCAGTAGTCTGATTGCCAACACCTCCCACTACCTCGCTCCTGTTCGCCACTGCAGAGGCCGAATCCATGTGCATGAACTGCGCTATGTTCAGTTCTTCCTCGACCGGGAAGCTCACCGCACGAGAGTTCTTCTGCCCAAACCAGCCCTCGTCATAACGAAATCGATTTAGGTGAATAACCAGAGTCTCAGGAGTCGAGTAGAATCTTATGAATTTACGTCCATCACATTTTTTCTCACAGCAATCACAATGATACTGCTCACTTCCAGTGAGCTCCTCATTCTGGCAGAACGTAGCCAAGCAGTCGTATAAGGAGACCTTCGCATCTCCTAGGTACGCCCTCGCCGAATTCATCCATCCCCAGAAACCACTACACACCTTCATAGACGGACTGGCCGCAAACGACCCACCAGAAATCTTTGAGAAGTCCACCGGCGCACTAGGAATAGGTAGAGACACATCATAAACCGGTTCAATAGTAGTACTACTGTTCTTGCAGTGCATACACCGTACCGTGCTAATAAGCTTACCCAGGAAGGCGTCACTCACAGGGCTAGACCAAGACGTCTCCTCGGCCAACTTCTCCACTGATGGCGGTGACTGACTCTGACTGCTAGAACTCGACTGCTCACTGAATGACTCCCTATACTCCGACCCCGCAGCTTCCGAAGCAACACTAGAATAGGCCGTCGGCGAAGGTAACTCCTCAGGCATATGTACAGCTAGGTATGCCTCAGGGTACCTCGGCACTCGCCGCCTGAGCTCCTCATGCATAGCGTCCAACACACAATGGAGGAACTCCTGTGAGTCCTGCTGATGATAGCCTTGGAACATTGGATTTAGTTCCTGCACGGCCTTGAGCATAGCCTCTGGATTGTACGCATCAGACGTCGTGATCACTTTGTGAGGTAAATCTTCACTTCCCCATTGCTCTTCCATTATCGTCCGACATGCCTCTACCAGCCGCCTAGCTGGAGGGAGCGTTCCTCCATGAGCCCTCGGGGGTGGCATATTCCTCAGAGCTTTCTGCAAAGGTGCGGTATGAACTAGACACTGCAATGCCGCGTTCATGAAGCACGTGTTACCCAAGTTGAAGAAACCCCTAGTAGCCCTCGTCGCTGAGCTGTCCGTATGCCCACGCAGCCCAACAGCATCTCCACTCACAGTCGCCCCCTCAGGCACCGCTGATAGAGGAGGACGAAGCGCCGAGCCTCCATCCACTGTTACGTGACCGCCGCTTCCTCCGTTCAAAGTCCGCCCCTGCTGCGTATGATGGACCTCCAATGAAGCCTTATCTGTGACCATACCAGTTGCCGTCACGTTTCTGTCGGACTCAGAGGTCCGTGATGATAATGACATTACAAAAACAGCCACTGAGGTTTTCCTTTCATGATCCCACACACAGGTAAAATGCCATACTACGGCGTCCAGCACAACGACTAAGCGACAGAACGAAACAGCCCAGAGGAATCACCTGCGACGTACAATGCCGCCACCATCGAACGTAGGCACACGCTAGAGTGGCACTTGACACACAGGTACGAGGGATCGGTCGAAATTCGAGCAAGCCGAAGAAACGTGTCACGCGCCACGAAATTACGCGCTCGCCCCAGCACGTTCTGTGTCTCGGTAATTGACAACTAAGCTGTACTTGGGCGTTTGGGTGAAACGGGACATAACAGAAACGATGACATAGGCCTTAAGCCTCATGGTAGAAGCGAGGCTTCTTCAGTACTCCAAACAAAGGAGGGCGCTCCGAACGTTCGAAGCCTTCCAGGACATCTCCTTCCTCGAGATCATCAAAGTCTTCGAACAGTATGCCTGATCAAAGACAATGAGCATCCAATTCACAGGGCCCACCATAAACCACTAGTCACCTGCTTCCTGCCCCTTGGGGACTTGCTTTACAGTCATCCTGTCCACGGTTATACTGCGGAGTTTCAACTGACACACGACCGTGCACTCGAGTCTGTTCACGAGTCGACACCTACCCCTTCTCGAACAACTTCAACTTGAGACGAATCACCGCCCATTTTCCTGAGTAAATTGTAGCTGACCTTATCCCCAGATGTCGCCACGCCGTCTCTAAGCGTCGCTCGGCCGATCGTCCTAGTGCCTTCGCCCTTGATAAAGAACCTAACGATCACGACATACCTCCGTTTCACGAGCACACTCTCCTACGGTGCAGGTTTCCCAAGACTCAGCCGACACACTCGAGTGTAGATCTCCCGAGGACCATAATGATAGCCGTAGATGTCCTCAACGTCCTGGAATAATCTAAGACCACCACAATGAGGAACCTCAGTCGACCACAACTATGGTCACCTATATATGATCTCGCTATGACGCAGGACCAGGTCAGCGGAGCGCATACGGTCTATAACGGCCTGCTTCGGCGGCTCTTGGAAGCTCAGAATCTGAGACACCCAACATGTGCATCAACCGACACCCTACCACCAGGCCTCACGAATGAACCTGTCTGCCTAGCAAAGTCAACATCATGGTCCGTAGGCTGGCCCACAGAAGCAGCCGCAATGTGGAACGACTGTGCATGAGAGTATCTACCACAGACCAACAACACCTGCCCGAGTCTCCACCAGAACGTCCCTCACTCCTCAAGCCAGGCATGGAGGACCTTGAGCTGCCCCTCGGAAGCCGCCTTGAGTATAACGCCAACCTGCCTATCCGTGCCCTCCACCATCCTCTGGATTTGGTCTTCATCTCTACCACAGAATACGAATGCTCATACTCCATCGTTGAGGCGTAACTCACTCCTGTTCCTTAAGATCCATATACACCTCCTTTTCTCGCCACTCGTCGATCCTTCGCTGCATAGTCGGGTCGTTACGCGACAGTACTTTCTTAATGTGTCTAATATACCACGCTTCGCTCCGCCGTACACGTCGTTACCACCCCTACTTTCCAGCGGCACGCTCTCCCTTGTCCTGTGGAGTTGTCTGGAGCTCCTCCTGCATCCTAGCAAGCCTAGCAGACTTCGCGATCTCCTCAGCCACTCGTTGGTTCGGATGAGCTTGTCTAAACAACCGCCTTATCCAAACGCTCAAGACTGCCTCGACAGCCTCACAGCAAGTCCCCTGCTGAACCAACAACTCCTCCATGCTTCGCACTGGTGACGGTCCACACCACAGAGACATCCACCGCGTCAGAAGGTATTGCCTCATCAAGGTCTCCTAGAACAACAGAGATACAGCCCGAGCACTCAGGACCCCTTACCCTCTGTGGGATAAGTCTCCCGGCCTGCATGCCATATGGTCCGCACTCGTCCAGCATTCTCCCCGACCGTCACCCACTCCCCCACCTTCAGCGTACCGTCACGTATCTGACGACAACGGCAGTCAAAAAGCGATAATAGGAACTCATAATGAATCTTACAACGAGATTCAGGATCCTCCCTTGTCGATGATGAAGACGAGATTCCAATATAAATGCTCTCGCCGGCATAGTCTAAAAATCGATCAAACTAGAGAGTATCCATACATGGTCTCGTGGCACCTTGTCAAACTCGAGTACAGTCTCGTCCTTCTCGTCGATAACAGAGGCTTCCAACAGCATGGCTTCCTCCAACTCCACCAGCCCCTCCTCCTTGGGTGCACATATAGGTACGACCTAATCCCAAAATAACAGAGGCCCGCCGCACTAGAGCGATCAGCGCAGCCTACCTGTACCGTTCCTCCCAGACTTTCACTCACGAGACCGAGCT